AATATAAAGATACTAAGATGGTTCTTCAGTATCTTTTTCTCAGGGTCATTCGAACAGAGGGAATGACCTGCTAGGACCATGTTGGACACATCAGGTGGTGTCTGCATTGAGATTTCACCCAGGGGTTTTGCTAGGTGTGGAGAGTGAGGTATTAGTCTGCTACAGTGCAAGTGTGTGGGCCTAATGAAGAAAAATACTGAGCAAAGTTAGGATGGGCTGCACAGCTGTGGAGGCAATAGATTCCTAGCTGAGTACATGGGTGAAGACTAAGAAATGATCAAGGGAAGCAGGCCCAGGTCCTCAGGGGCAGTTGGGAATGTTTCCTGGGGAAACTATAGGCTTGGAGAGGCTGTTATCTATGGGGTGCTGGAAGCTAAAAGAATTCCAGGATGGATGTAAGAATTGCTCATTGAAGATACCAAGGAGCAGAAGAGATGAAGACAAGAGCACCTTTGGTTTTGCTGAGCCAGATGGCTCTGCGGGCAGGGTGAGGAGAGCCCTTGGAGTTGATTGCCTCCTGGAGACTAAGCAGCTTAGAGTGTCTAGGACAGCTTTGCCTTGGGCAGCAGTGGGAATGAAGGAAACACAGGCCCCAAGGCACTGAATCTCAGACACTCCTGGTCACCTTACTTTATACGGCATTGTTACCAAATAGTCACACCCTGGAATCCAGAAGGTACCGTATGGAATATGTTCCATCTACTCAAGTCTGTAGGTATCTCTTCCACCAGAAAGAGAATTCAACTGTAATGAGTTTTAAGGGCAATAGCAGATTACTTTATAAAAAGTTATCTTTTTATGTGCCTTATAGTTTTCATGCATTTTAGAACCCACAATAAAGCTTAAATTTGACATCTCCACATATATATTTTTTCTCTCTCCTTTTCTTTACCCCCTTACAAAATGACATGACATATTAGTGGATCCAGACTCCACTAAACTGCTATGCTTCCATATCTTTTTTTTTTTTTTAAAGATTTATTTATTTATGCATACAAGAGCTGGGATACAGGCCAGAGATGCAAGGGGTTGAGAGGATTCACCAGAGACAGAGTAGGGAACAGAACATGCAAACTGACTGAAATACACTGCTGAGCGGAGCAGCGGGTGAGCCAGGAGAGGTCTGCTGCACCATCTGAGTTGCTCCCTGGCCAGCCAGGTATCGAACTTGTGCTGCAGAGGCTGCGGATTGCTTCACAGTGCGGTGCTTAACCCCTTGCGCCACCAGGGAGGCCCTAAGCTTCCATATCTTGATCTCCATTTAACTCTTCCCTATAATTCACTCCATCCTGAGAACATAGTGTTCACACTGTGTTTTGGAGTTAAAATTATTTTTGCGTACATGCTCCCAGACTCACCTTCCTGAGGCTTACTAGAATGACAGTGTGCATCCAATTTTCTTCCCTCGTTCAACTTCAAATGAGTGTCCCGCCATGGCTAAACTAATTTTTTAGTATTTTGTAAAGCAGAATTATAAGAACAATTGTTGGGGTAATAGGATGAAGAGCTCTCATGCTAGGTTTGGCAGTGAAGGGACTGGGCAATGTTGATAACTGGAGCTTGAGCAGCAGGGTGTACTTGGAGGAGCAGATGGGAGAGGAAGGGGCTGTTGTGAAGAAATACATAAATTTCTTGAAGCTTGTGGTTGTTCCAGAAATGCAAGTACAGACTTTCCATTATTTTGAAATTAATTTTTGATTGTTAGGTTATTTTCGCATGATGATATATTTATTCTGAGACAACCATATGGGTCATAATTTTTCTAATTAGTCTTAATAAAGTTATGTAAATTCAAGTGAGAATAAACCACAATTACAATAGTCTTTTGGAGAGATGACTAGATAATAACATTGCCTACAAAGAAAGACATGGATAAGAAAACTGTGGTTTCTAAATCCCAAAATATGTAAGACTTATTTTGGGAAACATTTTTAAATGCAAACTCTTGGACCCCATTGGCTAGTTTTGATGCTGTTGTTTGTGCTAGGGGGTGTCTAGTGATCTGCTTATATCATTGTGATTCTGTGATTCTCATGCAGGAGGTCTATGAACCTTGCTCTGACTCAAGGCCAACAAGCATCAGACACCTCCAGACAGCTCTGTGTGCCACGGAATTCCTGTAGCTCAGCCACAGAAACAGGGACTTAACTGTGTTCCCTTGCAGAGCTCCAGAGAAAAGTCTTTGGCATTCTCTATTATGTTCTTTCTAGTCACATTTACAGAGACATCTCACCATTTCTGTGAGGCTTATCCTCCTCAGCTGTCTTTGAAATCTATAGATAAGCCAAAAACAGTATTTTTTCTTCGGATTTATAGAATAAGCATCAAAAATCCTTCTCTGATACTAACACGAGCTATCAAATCACATTCACCAGAGCCATCTCACCAATGCAAATTTCTATAAAATCTAGGCAGAAATAGTTTATTGTGGATAGTGAGGTTTAATTTGCCTTACTACATAAGAGTGCTAAAATGAAACAGGAAATATTTCACTTGCAGAAACTTTTGAAAGAGGATACACTTGTCTAAGTAGGGGGGTGTCCTCATCCATACTCAACTTTGGTTGTAGATTAACCAGGTTGAGTATTTTAAAATTTTTTAAATATTTATATTAGGAAATATTTATCCTAATCTCCTGGTTGGACTTTTCCCAGTGTTTTTAGTCACAATTGGAAGGTATTAAGGCTATCAATTACTGCGCCTAATCATAAAATGCCAAGGCAATCTAAAGGCAACATTGCTTAATCTGGACTGTTGCCATTCATCATGCAGATGACATCAACCATGTCATCACTGAAGCAGGACTTGTGAAAAGAAGCAAGCCATCATGAGCTATAATGTTTTCATGGAATCAGAATTATAACAAGCCAGAGGATCAACACTATAACAAGCCACCTCAGTCTTCACAAGAAAGTTGCACCCTTTGGTAAACACACATACTAACTACCCAGGAGACAGTTTTATTGGCTGCCCAGCCCAAGAGACATAGGAGGAATACATGGGAGCAGGTGTATCTATATCCTTTGCATCTGCTGGTCGTGTTTTCTAAAAAATAAATGGCTATGTCTTGCTGACACTGGAGATAAGATATCTTGATGTCATCTTAAATAAATTTCAATTGTATAAGAACATACATTCCTTGTCTCAGTCACAGTCTGCTAGGGATTAATAAGATGAAGTGGTAGCAATAGGAAAGGCACATGGTAAAGTGAGAGAAAAGGCGTGGCTGAACAAACTTCCTTTAGAAGACTGATTCAATCAGTCTCCAATGTGTTAATTAATAGAAGTTATACTTCATGCCTAAGCTGTAAAACATAAAAATATAGTGCCCAAATGTAGTGAAATGATTTTTCAATGGTTTCTTCTTATTGTTCTGACTATAGAGATAGAATATCCACACTGTAGAAAATTAAATAGTGTAATACATTTTGAAGACAATGCTGTAGTGATGAGCACATTGACTTCCAATATCTGAGATGATGTAGTTATCTTATAAAAAACACTAAAAAAGAAATTATTAATCAGTTAAACAGGCTTTGCTTCACATTCAGAACTGCTGTTGATTTCGCAGTTTTTCTTACAGATTTAGTGAAAGTAGACACAAAAACTTAAGACTCAAACATGTACCACTTTCCAGATGTGTAAGTCTGAAGTCTTTTATTTTGAGGAAAAGGGTCATATTCAGTTTTATAAATTGCACATGTCATCCCAAGTATTCCAAAGAGAATGCAGATGACAGCATGTTTTCTGGACTAGATCTAATCCCATTGGCATCTAACTCATATGGCAAAAAAACCCAACTGCAACAAAAAACCCAGAAACTGAGTTACACAACTCTCTGGAGCTGCCCATCTTTCTTAAGATAGTTGAGCATTTGGAAGAGCAGAGTTTGAAGTGTATAATTGTTAATGATGACAGACACTCCCTACCCAGCAATGCCCCACTTGCCAGCACAGTGGACATGCACTATTCCAAATGGCATCAGAAGAAGAAACTCTTCAATGTCAAACTAGAGGAGTTGCCAGGTTGGATACTGATGTGGGATTTCACCTCTAAAAGTGTTGCTGTAGCATTTCAAAGAGATTACTACCAGTATTACAACAAGCACATAAATGTGAAGAAAGGGAGCGTGGCTGGGATTTCTGTGGTACTGGTTGCTTAGGAGTGTGTCCACCACTGCCCTTCTAACAGGGAACTCAAACAAGAGCAGCTGCATAGGCACCACTGAAGAGGGCCTAGTGCAGAAGGCACACCCTGCATTCCTGACCTCCATCTTCTTTGCCTGGCCTCCCTGAATCCTTTCATATTCTCATTGAGAATTAACACTCAATAAAAGATGACTGGTTTGGAAAAAAAAATTGAGGGAGGCTGTGTGAATTTAAATGTTTTACTTATATAAAATAGGATGAGGGGAACTGTCTATGCAACACTTAAATTTTCAAAGACTGCCTAATACAACAAAATTCTTATCTTAAAAAAAGGTTCATATATTTCGATTCATACTGAAAGTGATACACTTAAAAGGCCTGGAGTTTAGCCGACCAAAAAGGTCCATCGGTTCCTATAAAAAGGTATGCAGAATTTAGCTACTTGATACATTTCTATTAAAATTTGCTACCTGATATTCTCGCTGAATGAACGACAAAACCCAAAAGTGTTCAGGAGAAGCCACCTCCAGGGTAAGGTGGGGAGGTGCTCAGTGGTGAGGACCCTGACTTCCATCACAAAATTTCAGAACAATTTCTTTGGCATAAAAAATAGACATATTCTCTAAAAGGTCAGTTACCTATAAAATGAAAGTTCCCTGTTTCCATACACTCTCCCCATGCATTTTTATTTTAATGAAGCAATAGGGAAAAGCTCTATGCTGAGATCTTGTGGGTTGTAAGTGGGTTGTGTTAAATCACACTAGAGGTCCTGTTCACGAATAATGACTTCTCAAATAAAAAACAATTGCCCTTCTCAAATATTAATTTCCCTTCCCACCTTGCTTTCCATAGGATGGACTTATTGACTTTTCAGAGTTTATTGATGCTGTAAATCTGGTTGTACAAGGAAAAATGGAGCAAAAATTAAATTGGTATTTTAAGTTGTATGATGCTGATGGAAACGGTTCGATTGACAAAAAGGAACTGCTGAACATCTTCGTGGTAAGTGAAGTAGTAAAATATCCCTTTGCAGGACATTGCATAATTAATTCCATTTCCTCCCTGTGGAGTTGGTGACCATGCTCTCTGTGGTTCAGTATTCTTGGGACATACATTTTGAATTGCCAAAGCAATGTAAGCTTCATTGTCCTCTTGGTTACTGCGTGTTTAACTGCAAATTGTCATTTTCTTCTCAGTTCAGTCCATGGGGAAGTTTCCAAATTTAGCAGAGTATTGATATGGAAAGTGAAATAGACATGCTATTCTAAAACAACTTATCTTATTCTCTGCCATGGTGCAAAACATCTGTTGGGGAGCAACTAAAATACAGGATGATTTATACAGTAATAAATATGGACTAAGATTGAAGATCCCATTCTTAGAACTAAAGTATTTGTAATAGATCGCTCTGGTAGCTCAGATCCTTGTTCAACATGCATGTTTATAAATCTCATTTCCATACCCCCACCAATAGAGTGGGGATAGTTATTACCAGATACTTATCATGAGATAAAAGAGACCCCAGAGTAAAAAATGACTAAGTGGAACCATGTACCTAAGTGAAGATAAATAAACTTTATGAATGCAAAATACTGAGTTTGTAGCCTAGAAACAAAGAGAATTAGAATCATGTCTAGAAAAAAATCTGTCCCAAATACTTTTATAGATAAGGCAGGTAAAATATTGACAAATATGTACTATCAATTTTAGTAAATATGAAAGAAAAAATAAATGAATAAAACTACAATTATAATTAAACATTTCAATAAATGGAAAAAAACATAAAATATAAGCTATTTTGCAATTGTAACAACCAACATCTGGCGAGAATTCAAGAGCAGAATACTAATATTGCCACCACTTTAATCTCATATCAATCATTCACACCAAAAAGTACTAAGGTGAATTTTGTTTTGTTTTTTTTTTTTTTGAGTGTACAGTATTTTATTTATTTATTTATTTTTGTTTCTAATTTTTTTTTAATAATAAATTTTATTGTTATATTCCCCATACAATTGCAGCCCCCCCATTCTGACCCCAATCCCTCCCCTCCCGCCCCCCCCCAAAAAAAGTGTCTCTGGTTCATAGTTTTTTGTTGATTTTGATTTTCACTTTCTTATAGTCATTTTCCTGGTCCCTTATTTAAGTTTTCTAGATTCCTGCTATGAGTGAGACCATCCGGTATTTTTCTTTTTCTTTTTGGCTTATTTCGCTGAGCACGATCCCTTCCAGCGCCATCCATGTTGCTGCAAATTGCATGTGTTTATCTTTTTTGAATGCTGAGTAATATTCCATGGTATATATGTACCACATCTTCTTGATCCAGTCATCTATTTTTGGGCATTTGGGTTGTTTCCAAAGCTTAGCTATTGTAAACAGTGCTGCTATAAACATAGGGGTGCAGGTGTTCTTTGGAATTGATGTTTCTGTGTCCTTTGGGTAAATACCTAGGAGTGGAATTGCTGGATCATATGGAAGCTCTATGTTTAGTAGGTCCAGAAATCTCCACACAGCTTTCCACAGTGGTTGGACCAGTTTGCACTCCCACCAACAGTGCAGAAGAGTTCCTTTTTCTGCACACCCTCGCCAGCATTTGTTGTTGCTAGTTTTTTTAATATGTGCCATTCTCACTGGTGTAAGATGGTATCTCATGGTAGTTTTGATTTGCATTTCCCTGATGGCAAGTGATGTTGAACATTTTTTCATATGCCTGTTGGCCATTTGCATTTCCTCTGCAGAGAAGTTTCTTTTTAGCTCTTCTGCCCATTTTTTGACTGGATTATTTTCTTTGTTGTTGTTGAGTCTCATCAGCTCTTTGCAGATTTTTGTGATCAGTCCTTTATCATTAGTGTTGTGTGCAAAAATGTTCTCCCAGTTGGTGGGGTTTCTCTTTGTTTTTGTTATTGTCTCTTTTGCTGTGCAGAAGCTCTTTAATTTGATGTAGTCCCAGCTGTTTATCTTTGCCTTCACTATCACTGCTTTGGGTGATGTGTCTGTAAAGATGTCTTTGATGTGCAAATCACGTAGTGTTTCGCCTATATTTCCTTCTATATATTTTATGGTTTCAGGTCTTATGTCTAGTTCTTTAATCCATTTTGAGTTGATTTTTGTGTATGGTGTGAGGTAGTGGTCAAGCTTCATTCTTTTGCATGTAGCGACCCAGTTTTCCCAGCACCATTTATTGAACAAACTTTCTTTGCTCCAATGCATAGTCTTTGCTCCTTTGTCAAAGATTAGTTGACCATAAATCTGTGGGTTTATTTCTGGATTTTCTATTCGATTCCATTGGTCTGTATGTCTGTTCTTGTTCCAATACCATGCAGTTTTGATGATTATGGCTTTGTAGTATAGTTTGAAGTCTGGGAGTGTAATGCCTCCATTCCCTTCTTTTTTTTTCAGGAGAGCTTTGGCTATTCGGGGTTTTTTGTGATTCCATATGAATTTCATCAATAATTGTTCTATTTCTTTGAAGAATGACATTGAAATTTTGATTGGAATAGCATTGAATCTGTATATTGCTTTTGGAAGAATGGCCATTTTAATAATGTTTATTCTTCCAATCCATGAGCAGGGGATGTCTCTCCATTTCTTTGTGTCTTCTTCTATTTCTTTTAACAGTGTTTTATAGTTTTCTTTGTATATGTCCTTTACCTCTTTTGTTAGATTTATTCCCAAATATTTGATTTTTTTTGTTTCAATAACAAAAGGGATGGTTTTTTTGATTTCTTCTTCTTCAGATTTATTGTTTGTGTATAGGAAGGCTACTGACTTTTGCGTGTTGATTTTGTATCCTGCCACTTTACTGAACTGATTGATGAGTTGAATTAGCTTTTCTGTGGAGTTTTTGGGGTTCTCTATGTATAATATCATATCGTCTGCAAATAGTGATAGTTTGACTTCTTCTTTTCCTATTTGGATTCCTTGGATGTCTTTCTCTTGTCTTATTGCCCTGGCTAGGACTTCCAGTATTATATTGAAAAGCAGTGGTGAGAGTGGACATCCTTGTCTTGTTCCAGATCTTAATGGAATTGCTTTCAGCTTTTCACCATTGAGAATGATACTGGCTGTTGGCTTGTCATAGATGGCCTTTATGATGTTGAGGTATGTTCCTTGTATCCCAAGAATTTCAAGGGCTTTTATCATGAATGGGTGTTGCACTTTGTCGAAAGCTTTCTCAGCATCTATTGATATTATCATATGGTTTTTATATTTCTTTTTGTTGATGTGTTGGATAACGTTGATTGATTTTCGGATGTTAAACCATCCTTGTGCCCCTGGAATGAATCCAACTTGGTCGTGGTGAATTATCTTATGGATACATTGTTGGATTCTGATGGCTAAAATTTTATTGAGGATTTTTGCATCAGTGTTCATTAGGGAGATTGGCCTGTAGTTTTCCTTTTTTGTGTTGTCCTTGTTCGGTTTTGGTATTAGTGTAATGTTGGCTTCATAGAACGTGTTTGGTATTGTCCCTTCCTTCTCAATTTTTTGGAAGAGTTTGTGAAGGATAGGCACTAATTCGTCTCTGAATGTTTGGTAGAATTCATTTGTAAATCCATCAGGTCCTGGGCTTTTGTTTTTGGGGAGGTTTTTGATTACCATTTCAATTTCGCTAATTGTAATTGGTCTGTTTAGGTGTTCTATTTCTTCTTTATCTAGCTTTGGGTGATTGTAGAGTTGTAGGAATTTGTCCATCTCCTCTAGATTGTTAAACTTGTTTCCATATAACTGTTCATAGTAGTTACTGATTATTCTTTTGATTTCTGCTGTGTCCGTTGTGATTTCTCCTCTTTCATTGATGATCCTGTTTATTTGTGCTTTCTCCCTTTTTTCCTTTGTGAGCCTGGCTAGGGGTTTGTCTATTTTATTGATTTTTTCAAAGAACCAGCTTTTGGTTTCATTGATCTTTTGGATTGTTTTTTTAGTTTCAATTTCATTTATTTCTGCTTTGGTTTTTATTATTTCTTTTCTTCTACTGGTTTTGGGGTTTTTTTGTTGTTCTTTTTCTAGATCTTTGAGCTTCGAGATTAGGTTGTTTCTTTGAGTTCTTTCTTGTTTCTTGATGTGAGCTTCTATTGCTATATATTTTCCTCTTATTACTGCTTTTGCTGCATCCCATACATTTAGGATATTGGTGTCCTCCTTGTTGTTCAATTCAAAAAATTTTTAATTTCTTCTTTGATCTCCTCATTAGTCCAGTGGTCTTCCAGTAGTATGGTTTTTAATCTCCATGAGGTAGGAAAGTTCCTTGCCTTCTTTTTATGGTTTATTTCTAGTTTGATGCCTTCATGGTCAGAAAAGATGGTTGATATGATTTCAATCTTGGTGTATCTGTTGATGTTTGTCTTGTGCCCCAGTATGTGATCGATCCTGGAGAATGATCCGTGTGCGCTTGAGAAAAATGTGTACTCCGTTTTTTTGGGGTTTAGTGTTCTATAGATGTCTGTTAAGCCCAATTGCTCTAGGTCCTTATTTAGAGCTTTGGTTTCTTTACTTATTTTTTGTCTTGTTGATCTATCCATTGTTGATAGTGGTGTGTTGAAGTCTCCCACTACGTATGTGTTTTCTCTGATGTCTGTTTTCAGAGAGGACAACAGTTGTCTGATATATTTTGGTGCTCCTTCGTTTGGTGAGTATATGTTAATGAGTGTTATTTCTTCTTGAAGTATTGTCCCCTTGATCATAATGTAGTGACCATTGGGGTCTCTTTTTATCTTTTTGAGTTTGAAATCTGTTTTATCTGATATAAGTATAGCTGTTCCTGCTTTCTTTTTTGGTCCATTTGCTTGTAGAATTGTTTTCCATCCTTTAACTTTGAGCCTATTTTTATCTTTTGTAGCTAAATGTGTTTCCTGGAGACAGCAAAAGGTTGGGTTTTGTTTCTTAATCCAGGCTGCAACTCTGTGTCTTTTTATTGAAGAGTTTAGTCCATTTACATTTAGAGTTAATATTGATATGTTAACATCTGTATTTGCCATTGTGTTTGTCTTTCCTTTGATTTT